TGGAGTTCAAAACTCGCAATACCAGTATCACACTTCAGCACAAAGGAAAGGAGTGAGACGATACCTGAGGAAGACGAGGACTTCATCAAAACAGCAATATGTTAGGACTCACTCGCTAGAGACCCGCTTGCGAGCTCCAGAAGGTGATGACCTTTAAGTGCGTCAAAACCCAAGCAGCTGGCCACGATGTCCAGCATATAGATACGACAGTCACCGGAAATGGAACCTGCAATGCATACCTTCTAGAGTGGAAATAAGCTGGATGCTCTCCAGCGAAGGAACCCATTCTATAATGGATTGCCACTTGTAGAATGCGGTTACTGCAGTGTGGGAATATATGATAGCTTTCCTCAGCTCGGCTCAGGGGATCCGTCACAAGGTTACACACGATTTCGGGTGGAAGCGCACAGAAACCAGCAAGGATTTCCCAAAATTTCCTTACAATTTTCATATGGTCAGCCATTTACATAGTTGACTATGTGCATAATTTCCCACTCTGAATTCCGAGATTAATCCAAAGTTTTACAGTGAGTTGACTGAAGAATGTCGAGGAGTCCAGTAACCATACACCCACCATCATTATCGTCCTCTAAAGCAATCAAGGCAGTATCGAAGACATCGGTAATGCCCTCGAGGACAGCGGTGACAACAGAGCATATACTTGGATTATGGTCGAATCCCTGACAGGTAATGCACTACAAAATATGTCTCCTCTGCGTGCAGGGATGGATTCAGGAAGTAGGAATCTTTTCTTCAGCTCACCGTTTTTACTCTTATGAGCTTCAGCAATAGAAAAAGTCCTAGCCTAGGACTCCTAGGATACCGTGAGATATAATCTTGGTTTTATTTTCATTATAATAGAAACCCGGGACTTTTCAAGACGTGAAGCGTGAATCGATAAAGGTATCGCGGTTTCAAGCTAGTTAGGATGACTACACAACTCCCATCGGTGCTAGTTGTATTCGAGACGAATAGAGAGTCTCACCTCGAGAACTTCTGCTATGAAGCGGAAGGCTGCCTCATAGAGTCTATAAACCCGCTGATCGGTCACAGGTGTTGTCTTCAACACTGAGCACACCTGTCGTCATGTTCCGCACACGTCTCGTACACGATAAGAAGCTCACCGCGTGAAGGATGTCTGAGACGTGCACTTTAATGGTGTCGTCTTCGCCAGGTGGCAAGTCTTGCACCGTTTGCTGAGGATAAAGAACCGTTACGGTACCGAACTGTTGAGGAGAGCGGCACACCCAAAGATGGAAGACCCTGTCTCGGTCCTTCCACTCGATGCCTCTTTTTCGGAGGAGGTTGTCAATATCGCGGAGCGCTTCGAACGCTGAAGGCATGGAAGAGAGAGGCGCTAGACTGAAACAATAGGCTTCGAGTGGCGCTCTAGTGGACTTGACGCGACTCTATTTATGAGCTCGGGTAGATGGCACATTTATCCAACACCTATCCCGCTTTCATTAAATTCAACTCCTTTGGAGGAAACCGCGTTGAAAGCGAAGTTCTTCCGAAGTTGATTGTCAATTGAAATTGATTACTATTGATCAACGTATCTTGAGGCGGTGGCATAGCCACTTCGGCCGGAAAAATTGATTGTACCAAGGCGTATCTTGGGGCAATGGCATAGCCGCCCCCACCGGATAGATCGATATACTACGGCATATCTCGAGGTAGTGGCATAGCCGCCCCGATCGGTAGAATTGATTTCACTGAGGCATATCTTGGAGCGGTGGCATAACCGCCCCGGCCGGAGAAATTATTCCTTCTGAGGCATACCTTGATGTTATGGCATAGCCGCCCCAGTCGATGCAATTGATTCCACTGTGAGCAAAGTAGACCTTTGAGAAATATAGGTAATATGCGGTAATGAATGGTAATACAAATTGAGGCCATTTCGGACGGGAGGGAATTTATGATACCGTTTGAGCCCTTTCGAGACTGTTACCCCTCCCGCCGCCGCCTCGAGACGCCCATTTACAACAACAACACGAGGAGGCCGCTTAGAGACGGTTAGGATAGGCTCTATGGAATGTCGTTAGTTACTCATTAACGTCAGCAATGAACCAAGTCCTATGTAGACGTATCGATAGCGGCAAAAAATCTACGCGTTCGACGATGATTTCAAATAGTAAGCGATGCTGAGTCACGATAGGAGAGGAATTTGGCTGCCTGCATCGCATTCGCGAGAAGATATAGTCAGCCTCAGCAAAGACTCTTCTGAACAGCATTAATCTACACTGTCACAGGGACGTGAACCACCAATCTTCGACAGAATTCAAGAAGGTAAGATGACGCAGTGACGATCGTGATAGCTGTGAGTACGTTGTTGTACGAAGTAGTTAGTAGCAGTTATATAAGTATAAGCAACAGCAACAGATATGAGGATAATAGTCATCTCGTTGTGGAACACACTATCATCGAATAGACCAAGGTATGGTATGAAATTCTATGGCAAAGAGCTGCGGCAAGGCTAGCAAGCTAGGCCTGATTTGATAGGAGCACCTGGGTCAGGCTGTCCTCCACAAACTGCCTTAGTCGCAACAATGCGAAGGCAGCCTCTTGCTTGTGACTAGGTCTAGGATGGGAATAAAATCAGAGGCTCAATCAACACAAAGGAAACACACACGGATAAGCAAGACCACAATGAGAATACAGACCAGCAACCTTATGGGTGATCCGAAAACTTCACGTGTCGTGAACACCGTAGGAGCCTCAATCAGTGTGATGAAGAAACGCTTGAGGTCTACAAACAATG